TGTAGCCGATGATGTTCTAAAGGAGCTTTCATAGTTCATGTTCGACAAGATCACGTTGTTTTAGCTATTATGAATGTTTTTTCGTCAGGTTAGAATAATAAATGAAGAAGATACAGAGCCAAAAATCTTGATATAAAGCCAAACGAGCACCTTAAAAAGAGCTGTTTTTTTGTTTATCAAAAAGCTTTGAGCACTTAATATATTGATATTCATAATCAGCACACTTGACTCTATCAATAAATATGTGTTTAAACGAAACCAAAAATAAAAAGGTTTTAGAGATTCCTGTGGGGGAACACAGGTTCCAAAAACTCTTTGGTGAGCTATACGAAAAAAACCTATGGAATATCATCAGGAGTCATGTCTTACTTCAAATCAATAAAAAAAGAGTCAACTTTGTTGGGGGCAAAAAAATGGTCTTGTCCGCCCTCGTCCTTTCAAAAACTATTATTCTCCAAGTCTGATCGTCACTAGTCAAGTTAACATACGAAGATGTTTTATTTTCCAGACTTTTATTGATGTAATTAATGGGGTTCCTCTTAGAAAATCGGATTTTTCAAAAAAATACCAAAGTGGAGTTTTTATTACAGGAAGATGCAGTGACGCTTCCTCTTTCAGAATATACATGGCTTTTTGGAAAATAACCACATTTTCAAAGACTTAGCGCATGAAAATATGACTCTACTACCATATTCTCGGAGAAATTTTCGCGGTTTTTAAAGTTTTGGAGATACTACGTTGCCACTTGCATTATCATTGAATAGAACATTCTTATATTAACCAGCATGTCATATGTGTGGTAGCCGTTTAAAGAAATCCAACGAGTTAAGAGAAATTGTGTAAAATGAATAGGCGATCACAGCAGAGTTCTAATGGCGGACCAATGAGCTTCAGCTTTAGTAAAACATGGAACATCCATACTTTACATGCTCTGAATCCTATTGATTCGTCATTAGTACTCTTCCTTGACCTCTATTCATTTTATCCTGTTTCCTTTAACTCGTTGGATTCCCTTAAACGATTACCACATTTCACTCTGCTCTGAATATAATCGATGTTTTTTTTTGTTTTAAAGCTCTTGACTAGAGCTAACTTTTCATCAGACGGAGTTTTGATATTTAATTCCTGGACTGAAAAAAGTAGGATTTACTCTCGTGAAGTGACCTTTTCTATGCTTATTTTGAACACCATGTCCATCAAAATGCTTATAAAAAAAATGAATGGAAGGGAGTTTCAAAATTCTATCCAATGAAAAGTTGCGCACAGAAACTAGCTTTAATTTGAAACCAGCCCAAGCTCTGTACTCCTTATAACAACGAAGTTATTTCGATTCTTCTGGAAGAGATTACAAGAAAACTTTGTTCACTCATTAAATCTATAAAGATCAATTGAACACATAATGTAATTGACATTGTTCTTAATTTAAAAATAAATCTAACAATGACTACGATTAGCTACTTTTTTATCCAAAATACAAAATGAATTAATAGAGAATTATGTCTACGACAAAATTACACTTGAAGACAAAATCTGGCCAAAGTTGCGTTTGTCCAAATTTCATATCAGGTTAATTGTCATTGAATACAATAAGTTCATTTACCTTTTGATGTAGTAATCTCAAAAATGTTGTTCATATGACAACATGCATACAACAAATATTCTTACTATTAATTCGTTCAAATCTATTATATTGTCCTTCTCTAACAACTTGAGAAAAATCTACAAAAATAAAAGAAAAAAGTACGGTACATTTTTTTTAATTTTTAAGATCCTTCTTCCACGTTAGTTTTCTAAGCATATGCAAACAGAGATGATGATACTTTCAGGATATTCTACCAAATTGTCATGAGAACATTTTTTTCATTAGAGCTATTTTGGTGTTTATTACACAAGGCTATGAGTCTGCGGTCTCTCTTCAAACACACCTACATCAAGGTTCATAACTACACACGCACTCATACTTCACATACATATGTACATTCACACCTACATTTTTTGTTAGTATATATTAAGTTTATTTTGGAAGATTAAACGAAACCAAATGAAGATGTTCAAAATTTGCTTATAGAAACCTTCGTGTATAATGATCAACGAGACATTAATTATAAATTTTTCAATTCTAGCTATATTAGATAACTTATCCACGTAATAAATATCAAATAGAAAGTATTCATTTTAAATTATAATCAAGTCAATCACATTTCTTTTTCTTTTTATTCATGGTATGATCTAGTATTGGAAATAATCTGTAGAGAAAATCACACAGTAAATTGAATGATTTTAGTATATGATGTTATTATCTAATATTTGATGTATTCTAAAAAGAAGTACTTGTATATCAGCTAAATGAATATTCAAACGATCAATTATTTAAAGAAAACTGATGAAATTTGGTTTTGTTTTTTGAAGAAAATACATCTTATTCATGTTGGAATGATACAAAAGAAAATTCATGGATACCTCAAGAGAGATAACAACAAATGCGTACAATTATTATTTTAATGATTTGGCAATAATTTTTATCCTAATTTAGTTTTATATTGCATCGAGAGAGTAAAAACCAGTGGAATGACAAGATGTTATTGAAGATAATTCGATAAGTATACAATCATATATTCATATCTCAAGTTAATTGGAGCATAGGCGGCGGAACGATTTCAGTCTAGGGTAAGCTGAACTTTTTAGCCAAGTTAGATGTGACCATGTAAAATAAATTAAGATTGAAGTTAAATTGAAATCGATTAAAAATTGATTTATAATCGACCATAATTATACGATTTTAATTGGTTTTTCATCATTTTTTTAAACTAATTTTAATGAAAAATAACCGAAAAAATTAAAATTTCATTAATTATTACGATTATTTTTGATTATTATAGGTTAAAACTTTATAAAAAAAAATCAATGAACATTGAGTTTTCTTTTTGAAATATGAAAAGTCTTCACACCATTTTCATCGACTTGCACCAATAAAAATGAATATTTCTATAATGTTTTAATCAATTATAATTGGAAATAATCGTAATCATCAATGAAGCTTTTATTTATTTATTTATTTTTAGTAATTATCGATTAGAATCAATTATAAAATGATTAAATATCGATTAAAATTGCATGATAATGACCAATTATTAATTAGTTTTTAATCGACTTTAATTTGACTTCAACCCTAATTCTTTTGCGCAGGGGTGAAAGCGGTTTGAAAAGTGATTTTCTTCGTTTCTTTGTTGTGGTAACCGCTACAATTTTTCTTGTTAGATCTAAATTCTGTATTAGTGTGATAACTATCTAATGTATTATTGTTGTCCAACACGACGAGAACTAACGCAATAACTTAGAAGGACTATTTAAAAACAATAAAACAACAGTCTAAAGATAGAGAAAATTATTTAGCACCAAAAAAAATGTGTCTTTTTATCTTGATTCTTTGAAAGAAAATCAAAACAGATTCTTCACGAAGCTGATGTCGAGGTTTTTGTTGATTCTCATGATGAAATTTCGACGCAGTCCTATTTCACATTGAGTATCATTTCGACTATTCGATAAATTTCAAAAGAAGATGAATTTTCACCAAAAAGACTCTTGGTCTTTTGCTTTTTGAGTTGAAAGAAAGACATAATCTGACTTTACTTAACTGGCATCGGTATACGAAAGAAGTAATATTATTTAAGTATCTAAGATTCAAAAGTCATTTTAAATAGAAGTTTACAAAAAAATAGAGCTCGGCAAGTACGAACCTTCTCGTGTACGAGTACAAGTATAAAGAAACCTAAACCGGAGAACGAGAATTTCGAATTCGATTACTTCGAAGTATGCGTTCAATGCTAGAGTTGTACAAGGTAACGGTACTCTAATTTACACGGAAAGGTAGGATAAGAGTATGCAGTATATGGTAGAGTAGGTTAAAAATGAGGCAGTTATTTTCAGTAGAGAATAGAATGCGAAAAATGCTTACTCTGCATACCTCTATGAAATGTTGTGACAGTATAATTACCAAATACAAACGAGGCACTGTCATATAAGATTGAACGAAGAAAAAAAAATTAGTTGTTGGTTTCTTCTTTGAAGAGTAGCACTACTAATTTCAATGCAAAAAAGCAAATATTTCGGGTGGAAAAAAGTGGTTTATCTAGTTTTATATTATGAACAAAGAATTCGATGTCGATACAGATGCCAACAAAGTTCAATCAATATCTCATTGGACACGAGTTGGTAGTAGAGAAAATATCAACTGATCTTGTAAAAATACGTCAGCTTTCTGAAGGATATCAAAACTGACTAATAATAGAAAATTATTACATTTAATCGAGCCTACCCAAGCCTATCCTCCTTCAATCTAGAGTAGGCTTGAGCCTACCTAGGCCTAATGGCTTCACTGGCTATGATGAGAGCTCGAATCTTATCTACAAAAACAAAACCTTCTGCATGCATATATGTTGGTAATCATGCGAATTTGACTAGGTTAAAAATAAAAAGCTGTTCATAAATACATCTTGATAGATATGAAAACAAAAAACAGAAATTTTCGGGAACGTCAGTCTTTAACATTCTTTCCGTTCCCGATTCCCGCGGGAAACGAGACGGGAAAATTCGAGAAAAAATCATTCCCGCAGGACATTAGGGTTTAGCCCTCAAAAAAAAAAGACTTTTGTAATCACTTGTAACAGTAGAGAAAAACGTTTTAAGAAAAAAAAATTTTTTCCAAGTTTTTTTGCAAACACCTGTATATAAACTCCATATCGTATATCTTCGTGAAACTGTAGTACCAGTTTTTCGCCGGTCAAGAAATAAATTTCGTCCGGTTCTATGCCTGATCTTGATATATTAAAAAAAAAATAAGACAATCGATTAGATATATGATGAATTTTTGAGCATCACTATATGTAATTGAATTTTATGCCTTGAAAATTTTATTTTTATACAATAATAAAAAAAAAGAAACAAACACATACAATAGATATTCTATATAATATACCCAAACAAAAACTTATCAAAACAAATTAAACAAATGTATTCGTTGGTGAACCTTTTACAGCAAGCATTGATGAATTAGTTATAGGATAAAATGATTTTCCTGTATTAATTGTTGTCTGTCGAATAAATGGTTTCGGTTCAATATAATGTCCTAATTGAGCTAAATCAACAAATTGTCGATTCGATGATGATGATGATAATGGAAGACAATTTTTATTACAATATGGTATAGATAAATCACTACATGTTGATGAATCTTCAGTTGATACAGTATCAGTTGAAGAAACTAATGAAAAAAAATCACGATTTAATGGTACACTTGGATAACGATGAATATCTAATGTAATTGAATGTTTTACATGTCTGAAAAAAAAAACAAAAATTTTACTTTTTATTTCTAAAACAAAAATTAAATATTTAATAATTACTTAATTAAATTTGATACAGTTCTTTGTTGAGCACGTGAAACATTTTGACCATTTATTTTAACAATATAATCACCTGATTTAAGTCCACATTGAGCAGCTGAACTATTTTCACTAACTTTTCCAATAAATGTTGGACTATCACCAACAACAGTAAAACCAAATGAATTATTTTTACCACGTAAAATTATAAACTAAAGAAAAAACAAGAAATTTTCGTAGAGATATCCACCGTTGATATAGTCGGATTATTCTTTGATACTCTCAATGAAATTGAATAGTCGTCCCGAAGATACGATATTAGTTCGTCAGGTCCTAATTATTCAGACCCGGAAGTCCGGGGACAATTTATTGGGTACGGGATAGGGAGCTGTGAATCCACGTTTTTGTGGACTCGGGTCTAAACCTGAGCTTTTTTCCATCAATATCTGGCACTAGAATCCGTCAGGTCCAAGAATTTCTGGACCCGGATCCGAACTTTAGCAGTAAAAGTTTAAAAATCTGGGCCCGAACTCTACCTGACCCCCTTCGTGTACATGAACAAATCACGCATCAAGGTTTCAGCTATTTTCAGAAAAAAACTCAACGTACAGTTATATCTTGTTGCCGGATTTCTCGTCCGGAAAGCAGTCGGTTCACAAAAACGTGTAACCGGGCCAGTGGCGTACGCAGGGGGAGGAGCTGAGGGGGTCCGCCCCCCCCCCCTTTAAGAAAAGTTCCCTGTGAAAGAGTACGGATAAAAAGTACTACGGTACAAATTTTTGAAAAACTCCATTACGGACTCCCTCCCTTGGAAAATTTCTGCGTACGCCACTGAACCGAGCCCAATAAAAAAAAATAAAAGGTTGGACGCGGACGTGAGCGACTCTATTGGAAAGTCATCCTATATGCAGGCATCCATTAGTTTGAATATCAAAACTAATTGAAATCGGTAATTTTAATAGGCATATCATATATACAGAAATGAATTTTTGTTTTTTACATACTTGATGTTCTTCTAAATCTGCAATATCTCGATTTATTTTTGTTACTTGTTTTTCATCATGATTTGATACTTGTTTATGACGTAATTCACCAATATCTTCAGGTAATAAATAAAACCAACCACGAATCTTGAAAAAACAAAAAAAAAATTTATAATACAAATAAAAATAATTGTTTTTTTAGTTTTGTTACTTTTTGTTTTTTTAATGTATTTTTTATACCAAATGATAGACAACCTTGAAAATTAATTTGATTTATTTCTTGTTGATAATTATATATAGAAAAACATAAACGTTTATGTATATCATCATTATTAATTTCAAATGTAAATTTTTCATTAAATATTCCTGAACCATTTATATTTGGTACAAAACGAGTATGACATTCTAATGGTTTTCGATCAGGTATAAGTGTCATTTTAATAAAAATATTTGATAAACATGAATAAATACCTTTGACTTGTAAAACTAAATAAAAAAAAAGATATTTTTTATTCTGATAAGAAAAAAGTATTTTAATCTACCTTTTAATGTTAAATGATTATCTGATGTGATAAGACTTAATTGAATTATTCCTAAAGTTAATCGTTTTTTTTGTTCATTCATATTTATTAATTTTCTTGTTGTTGCTATTCGAGGATATTCTAATGTTGTATTAATAAAATGAATAAAATTTGGTGACTCAAATAAATTTTCTTTTCGATTAATATCATTTTGTGGTGAATAATTCATTGTATTTCTAAAGAATTGGATAAAAATCATGTGAGAAAATATGCTAACACACTTGATAAAAGAAAAGAAAATAACAAGCTTTTGTTTTTGTTATTTCTCACCTACTTGTGCAATCGATTTAGTACGAAAGAAGAAAAAAACGAAAAATTTCAATAAGTCTTAATAAGAAGAGACACTCACCATTATGGTTGTTCAATTCAAATGATAATCTTTTTTATATTGTTCTTCTTTCATTTTGATAGAACGAAAAAAAGAAAAGAAAAGAAATTATTGAACTTCACATCTTCGGTCAACGAAAAGAAAAAATAGCCAATGGTTTTTTGATTTTTAGAGATTGATGATTTAGGTCAATTATGTAAATAAATTGAATGTTTATTATATATGTAATGATGGGTGAAGTGGTGAATGAGATGGAATGTTTAACAGACAAATGTTAATGAAAAATGAATTTTCTCACGAATAACATCTTTTTTAGATTAACAAAAGTGATAATTATACGAATGATACCTCTGTATGTTTAAGAAGAAACAAAAAAAAAAAAAGATACGTTATATATTATTGATGATGAAATCAAAGAATATGGAATTGAAAGATAAACATGTTACATATATATCTAAATATTTCTCCTGCTGTGAACGTAATGCAAAGCATTCAATCTAATGGATCTATTAATAAATATTTCGAATAGAAATTTTCAACGACTACTATATAGAGTGATATAACCGGAAAAAAAAAGTTATAAATGAGGCAGAATTTAACGAGGGAATCTCTCCAGATGTCAAATCATTTTTTTCAATCGAGACAATGTTCATTTGATGATGGTTTTATTTTCCAAGCCTTCAATTCTTGAAATATCAAAATTTTACTGGGTGTTTCATCCCCCTGTCTCGGTCGAAAAGCCATTTGATATTCGAAGAGGTTCTGTCATCGTTTTCAATTGGCAATTAAAATTTAGCAAAACTTTTTGTGCTACATTGTTTTTTTTTTTAGTAGTAATTTGTATCCGCGGATCAAGATTCAAAATTCTGCTTGAGCGAAGAATGTTTGTAAATCTTAACTCACTCAAGAATCTGTACTTATTGTAATAATAGCCATGATGATACTTTCAAATAATATTCAATTCAATAAGTAATGATTTGCACGGGTACGATTTTTCGCGCTCGCATCCAGATCGAAGCTAATTGACATCCAGCAAATACTTTCACAGTATGGTTTTCTTCTATAAAAAGACAAGTGAATCATGATCGAACTAGTTTTCATTCCTAATACGGAGTGCAAAAAAAAAAACTGACCCCTCAAAATTAAAATGTAACTAATTATTTATTTATAATTACAAATGAACTAAATTATATACTCCTAGCAGCTATAGTGAATGTACAATATAGACAATATGTACAAAATAAAATCTTGCAATTAAAAAATTTCAATGAAACAATAGTTGTTATTTTTCACCTATGTGGAACTATTTCTTTATCATATTTTTGAAAAATTTAATTTTAAGAGAGAGCCCATCAGATTATTTACCAAGCATCCATAGAAAAAATTTTAATTTTGAAATAAGTTATACCATTGGAAAGTTCGTGAAAAGTTATGCTCGAACTCAAATTTTTAGTTCTTTCTGAAAATCCTATGAAGGGATCTTTGAATCCACTCTCAGGTACTATTTCGAAAAGTTTGCTGAATTTTAAAGAATTTTATTTAATACTTTATGACAACATATATGCATCATTAAAGATTTTTCCTTTTTAGTATTAAATAACTGATTTTTGTTTTTTAGTAATTCTCGTCCTGAAAATACTGTTATTATTATTTGTGACGTTTCGGCAAGTCGATGCTACCTTCTTCAGACTTTATTAATAGAAATAAGTTAAAATTCAGTGTTTAAATACAAAATGTACTCAAATGAACTCTACATTTTTCTTTATTTTTCTATTCTTCTTTTTCTTTTCTGTTATGATTTTTGATAGTGGATCGGCAAGACAGTGATAGCTGGTAGAAGTGACGTTGTATATCATCTTCTGCCGACCCACTATCAAAAATCATAACAGAAAAGAAAAAGAAGAATAGAAAAATCTAGAGTTCATTTGAGTACATTTTGTATTTAAACACTGAATGTTAACTGATTTCTATTAATAAAGTCTGAAGAAGGCAGCATCGACTTGCCGAAACGTCACAAATAATAATAACAGTATTTTCAGGAAGAGAATTACTAAAAAACAAAAATCATTTATGATCTTCCTTAAAAAATATGAGTATTAAATAACGTATGTTGATTAGATCTATTAAATGCACCATGATAGAACAAGATTCTCAAATATAAATTGTATCTAAAGAGTCTTTTAGCATTAAGAGAAAATGCATCAAAATCTGCATCTTTCTATATACACTTCAACAAGATAAAATGTGTAAAGGTTATTTAATTTTTCAGCTCGAGAAATAGTTCCACACAGATGGAAAATAACAACTATTGTTTCATTGAAATTTTTCAACTGTAGGATTATGTAAAATTGACTATATTGTACATTCACTATAATTAGTAGTGATATATAATTTAGTTTATTTGTAATTATAAATAAATATTTAGTTACATTTTAATCTGGAGGGGGTCGGTTTTTTTTATATAGAAAGTAGTTTGAAAAAGTAAACATATTTTGAAATGTTGAGATCTCTTGTTGAAACGATCATAATAAAACTTTCTCAATAATATTTATTATCATTGAAATGTTTGATCAATATGAACTATACCAGATTATCTTACTCGGAGAAGAAAGTCTTAAAATAGCAATGAATGGGAATCTACATCAAAATTAGATTCATAGCGTAAGTATCAAATAGATTATTAAACATGCTGGTTTTTTTTGTCTCATTCGATGCTACTTAATTACCGTGAAATTCCTATCGATATAATTATTAGCAGCTAATCCTGTTGGTGACAATATAATTACTATCTCGGAAAGTATAATTAAAATACATGCTGTTACTATTCAGTTGTTTGAAATCTATTATTTATTTCAAGGACAAGTAATATTTTATTCGACTTGAGTTTTTAGACTTTATTTATCTATATGAATGAATCTATTCAGAATGCTGAAGATGTTTTATTTGTTCATTTATTTTCGAAAGATAGATAAGATTCATATCTAGTTATTTTATGTTTTGTTTTATGAAACAATATAGTTGTTTTGTGAGTAGCTCAGCATTAGTGTTTGATTCACTTCTATATTTTCTTGAATTTTTAGAATCATTTCGTAATAATCCTTTCAATATTTTATGAAGAAAAAAATGTTTCAAATTCTGGAATGATAAAGCTGAGTTCCTACTGGCTACATCACTAATTAGATACTTGCTGAACAATGTTGTCACTCAGCCATGACAGCTCATGGTAAAAAAAGGCTCCGAATCCTTACATAAGTAGTCAGAGTATATGCAGCCCTAATTAAATCATTAGAAAGTACATTTTGAATTTTTCATCTAATGTTCGTCTGAATGTTCATAGTGTAATGAGTTGAATTCATCATAATAAATCAAACTCAAGAATTTCATATCAATAACTAATCATAAATAATAAATTGTTTTGTATTAACTTATCTGTCAACAGTATTATCTATCATCAAAGAAAAGAATTACATTGTTTGATCTTTTCTTTTTTGTTTCTTCTTCTTGATTATATTTATTTCAAAAAAAAAACAAATCAATAAGAATTCTTTTTTTTTTGTCAAGTTTCATCTACTTAAACTAATGTATAACATGTTTGAGCTCCGCAGCAAAAAAAAAAAAATAGAATCAACACTTTATAAGCAGGAGTTATGCAGAAATTATTAAAGTGAAATAAATAATAATATATCTGATGTTTCTTTTTTTATTTGCTTGATTGACTTTATCATTGTTATGTTATTTTTCTTTTTTTTTGTTCTCTTATGCGAATGAACTGAAAACAAAAAAAGAAAGTGCTTGTATATCATCTGAATGTGGACCGGATATAACAAAGAATGTACGGCAGAAGTAAATAAGAAGAAAAAGAAAAATCATGATCATTGAATGCAGCCGAATAAAGTTGGACATAAATAGGGGTTTGATGGGTTGCATGTATAATAACGAAAAACTTTTAACAAACATAAAAAGAAGACAATGAGAAACAGAATATGTAAACACACACACACACACACACAAATGAGGCTACAATGAATAGTCTTGGTTTTGTTTTTTGTTAGATATGAAATTAATTAACATCCATTGATGATTGCTGTTCAGTCGATTGTTGATTTCCTGATGATGATGTTGGAGGTGGTTGATTTTGAGCTTGTTGTTGTTGTTGTTCTTGTTGATTATTTGTTTGTGGAGCTTGTTGTTTTGGAGGTTCATCCTTTGGTGGTTCAACTTTTGGTTTTGGTTTATTTAAAATAGCCCAACATTCTCGTTCAAGTGTCTATAAAATAGAAATATATTGTTTCAAAAATCATAATCAAATTCGAAACTGCACATAGATCTGGAATTAAATTCGAATACAATAAGACATTGAATCAATATTAAGTTCAAAGCTATGCACAAAATTAGGAAATAAACAAATGAGCAGAAAAATATTAATATCCGAACTTTACATATTAAAGCTATTAGCATAATCGATGCGAGATTAAAATTTGAAACACAATATATTTTGGTACACATTTCTTCATCATTCTTCTCCAGGAATACAATAAGAAAATGATTCATATATTCTAACACGATGTTAACAATGTCGATTATGCAGATGGTAGTGGTGATAGGAAGTGTTGCAAAGGCATAGGGATGTGAAGTTTCAGTTTACTGATCAAATGCAAGAGGAAAAAAGTGGCTCCTGATGGAATCCCCCAGAAGCCGCTTTTTTCCCCTTGGACTAAATGACTCACGAGAGAACATATCCAACTATTCGAGTTCGCATTATGGTTACGAGTAGGTCTGGTGATGCATAAAAACTCAAAACAAAGAGTTTACACCTGAAATTTTTTAACAAACATATTTTT